TTTTAGGATAGAGGGTATAGGGGAGGAAAAAAAGAATCCCTTCTCCTCTGTCCTCTTAAGTTCAGTGGTTGGAGCCTGCAAATTAAACTGACAATAGACAGATTAACAGGAGAAAAGGTTTATTTAGTGTGTACATTGGGAGCCTCACAGGAAAAAAAAAAAAAGAAAGAAAAACCCCAAAGAAGCCATTAGGTGTGAGAGCTTATATACCATTTTAACAAACAGTGAAATTGTGGAGACATGATAAGACAGGGGAAAAGGAGTTTGGACTTCTAGGGCAATAAACTGTAGGAAGGTGAATATATGGTGGAAACATAGAAGATACAGATTATTTTAATAAGATTTGTTTATGCAGATTCATCTTGATGCTGACTTTTCATTTCTTGTGCCAAGGGTTTTTCTCTTCCTCCTAGTACAGGAGAGTAAGTGGGAGAAACACCCTTACAAAGGGAAAATTGCCTTCTCTCAATATAATCCTCATGTCAAAGGGGCATATTTGGGGGTGGCATATTCCGATCCCCATCTGGGGAAAAGTGCCCATCTCTGAGATCAAAAAGGCCTAAACTTATTTATGATCATAGGCAAGTGTTAGTATCTACACAATGAGGATGATAATAGTACTTATCGACTTGTTAGCAAGAGTGATGAAGTAATACACTGTATGTAAAGTGCTTAGTGTCATAATTGGCATATACTGAATGCCCAACAAACTAGTTATTACCACTGTCATTACTGGAATAGTAAATCACTGCTGATGTATTGGTGTAGGGGTTAAATCAGTGATTGGCATATATTAGTCATCTCCCCACAGACATGCTTGCAGTTGAAATCCTGATGTCATGGCCTTTTTTGGTCCAGTTGGTAAAACCATATTGTTTTGTTTTTAAACTGAAAGGAGTCACCTAGCTGTCAGAATTATCTTACATTCTGCAACAATGCCATGAATGCCAGAAATTTCTTACAAGCATTGAAAAGGAGTGGGTCTTCTTAACGGATGGATCAGATTTCTCTTTCTCAGTTCTTTCCTTTTATTCAGTCTCTATCCTCACCTGCTTACCCCAGGCCCCACTGTGCCATGCTCCCAAAATTCTTTTAGCACTTGGGTATAGTAAAGATCTTAAAACAGCTTTATCCTACTGTCTGAAATCTCTTGAAGTGGTCAGGCCATTTTCTGCCATCAGTGTAAGTCCCTCTCCTTCAGTCACACACGTTGCTGTGACAGTGCCTCCCCATCAAAGCCTTTTACTTTCCTCTTCTTCCCTATACCCCTGAACTAACATTCCATTCAGATGGCTTTCTGTACTCTGTAATATGTTCCTTCCTTCTGCTTCTGGCCGTTGCTGTTTCCTCCACCAAAATCACATGTCCTAGCTCTCTCACTCTCTGTGCCTGTTGACAGTCTGCTTCAGTCAATCTTGTGTACAAACCCTTCATTTTGTGTGTGTGTGTGTGTGTGTGTGTGTGTGGTATCTTTCTAGTATCTTTCTAGTGTCATGGTTAACTTTATAATGCAGTATATTAAAAAACACTTAAAATGTGTGAGATATATGTTTTTCTGCTGTTTGACACTACATAAATTTCTCTGTATTATGATTAGTCATGGATGTAGAAGTAACAGTGGCTGACATTTTGGGGACAGATGCCACATGCCAGGCACTATTCTAAATACCTTATATTTAATTTATATCATTTCTGCCTTGTTTAGATTATTATTAATACCCTAAGTTATAGCTTACTAAACTGTTACATTTTAAAATATATATTTTTACTAGAAAATTTAAAATGTGAATTTTTACTAGAAAAACCATGTAGTCTATATATGTTTATGTGTATCCAAAGATAGTTTATTTAGATACACATAAACATATATATAGACTACATGATTATTCAGTTGTGGCATTAGCAAAACGTACAGGGCCCATGACCTATCCTGTGCTTATCTAGCTTATACTTACCAATCTCACCTTCTGCCTCTCTCACATCACAATTGATGTTTCATGTACTTAATAGGCATAATTCTTCCCTTGCAGAGTTTTGGTGAGAGTGAAATATGACATTGTAGAAAGTATTTGGGACAGAGAAGGTTCTCAGCACATGCCAATGCTCCCGTCCCATGGCCTGTCTCTGCCTTATCCCTCAGCTAAGTCCATCTTATTTTCTAAGGGGTCTATCATCACTGGGAGACTAAGAGCTTCTCATAATTCTTTCTAACCTTTGCATGAAATTTCAATTCAAGATAATGGCTGTGCCTAGAAAAGGAGAGAAGAGATTAGAATTGGATAGAGGGACAGGAGTGGAGGAATGGGGACTCATTCTGTAATTTATTTCTTAAGCTAGGTGGTGGGTACATGGGTATTCTGTTAATCTAAAATTTTTATATATATTTCACTGGAAAATTTTGTAATTTCAAGGAAACAACCTATATACTTATGGTTATTACTGAGGTTCTTCTCTTGGAAGCAGTTAAAATGAACAGGGCAGCTGAATTCTTTTTTCACTGGCTTCCAAAAGCAGAAAAGGGTATCAAAAAGGGTAGAAAAAATTCACCATGTTGAGGGTGGGACCGCTTTGGCCTCAGACAGAGGCATCAGGGGTGGCTCCAGCATATGAGGGAGATCAAAACGTGCATCCTCTCTATTGAGCTGATGTGGCCTTTCTTTTGTGTTTTTCTGAACTGCTTCTCTGAGTGAACTTGGGAAATAACCAGAGCTGCATTTTATCTTTTTTAATATCTCAGCCTGAAATGCTGACAACCACTGCAGACATCATGAATTTTTAATGGGGTGATGATTACAAGGCTGGCGAGGGCCTCATTTCGTTTCATTGGACTGCTGTGACACTTACTTCCTTTATTGTATTTAGACTTCCTGGGTTGTTTCCCAATCCAGACTCATGTTCTGTTTCATAAAAACCCATTGCTTTCATGCAGTTATTGAGAGTGTGTGTGAAAGCGAAATTTTTAAAAATTTCATATCAATTATTGAACAGTCTCCAGATTTCAGAAGGGAATGCTGCTTAAATTCCTGAAGAGGAATTCAAGGAATCCAAGTCAATAAATATTTACTGAGCCCTAGCTTTATAAGCTCTGCTCACAGAAGAATCTACAGTTGTGTCTGTTGGGTAGAGTATAAAGGTGAACCAGAGTTAATCCCTGCCTCTCATGGTCTGATGACAGGGAAAGACATGTGTGTTTGTATTAATGAATATGACATGGTGTGCTAGAATATACTACAATGGAGGCACAGAAATTGTGGGCAAGGAAGGATTATTTTTTATAAGGAAAGATATAATATATGGATTGAACATTAAAGATACAACTTTGATAACTATCATTTATTCATTCTGTTGATTGTTCATTTATTCATTCTGTAAATACTATGTGTCTACTGTGGGCCTCCATACAAATGCATGCTTATCTGTACACAACAGAGAAGGGAGATGGAGAGTTGAGCACAAGCATCTGAAATACTTCCAGGTGACAGTGTAGAACACATTCCTCCACTCACATTGCCTTGGGTCTGAGCCATCTTCCATGCCTTACTTCAAGAGTGTAGGGAAGTGCAGTACTCCTTTTCATAAGCCTGCAAGGATTGGGAACCTGGATATCCTTGATGAGTGTAATGTCTACCATAAGAGTCACAAGATCTGATGTGCAATTCAGCAGTGTCATGCTGGGTGCTTTGTTGACAACAGACTGTAGGGGAGTAAGAGCAGCAACAAAGAGACCAGTTCAGAGGTTTTACCAGTGATAGAGGCAAGAGATGATGTTGGATAAGGTTCATACCTATAGGGATGGTGAGAGGTAGTCAAATTTAATTTTGGATATATTTTAAAGATAGAGGCAGCAGGATTTACCAATGAATTGAATCTAGGACAGAGAAAGAAAAATCAAGCATGACTTGAGTTTTGGCATGAACTTTAAGAATGTATTTGCCATTACCGGACAGGAGACTAGAAAAAAAAGGATGGGGTAGATCACGAATTTGGTTTTAGAGATGTTAAGGTTGAACATAGTTATTGGGTATCCAAGTGGACGTACTGAATAGGTAGTCAAATATGTGTCTGGGCTGGGGATATCAGTTTGAGAGTTGTCATTAGTGAGATCCCAAGAGAATAAGTGTAAATAGAGAAGAAAAAAAGGTGTAAAGACTGAGGCTTGGATCTCTCCAGCATGCTGAGGTCAGAGAGATAAGGAACCAACAAAGACAATGGAAAGGAGCAGCCATGAGGTCAGAGGACACTCAAGAAGGCATGGGGAGCCAAATAAAGAGTTTCAAGGAGAGGGGAGTTGTTATTTATGGAGCATTCGCTTTATGGAAAAACTTTTGTATACTTTATGTCAACTTATCAGCACCACAATTTTGAAAGGTAGGTATTAGCCTCATTTTATAGATTGGAAAACAAAAGCTCAGGGAGGAGAATTTGTTCACAAATATATAAATAATGTCTCTTGTGTGTCAGCTAGGGCAGTAGGCATGGAAGTTAAAAAACTGATAAGGTAGCCAGCTCTTAGGTAGTGAAACCAAACTTCAGACCTAATCCATCTGATGCAAGCTTGAACATTTTGCAGGAAGAGATGGTATGTGAAAAGCATTTTACAAATGCTATTCCTCAGACCTAGGGCTTAGACAAAATTAAAGGAAATTAAGATTAGTTGCAAATAAAAACCTGTTAAAACATAGGAATTTTTCTTCTGCAATCCAAGCCTGGTTTTCTAAGGAGAATTTTCTCCTGTTCTCCCATAATCATAATATTTTAATTGTTTGAAAATGCATTGATAATTTGACCCTTCAATATGTGGGGAGTCAGTAGATTAATTGAAATATAAATGGGCCAAATGCTGTAAAAGAAAAAGGGTAAACCTTTAATAGAGTTAAAGGAGGTTCAATAAACAATTAATGCAGTTTCTCTATGCTTTCCTTTTGAGTGTTCAAAATAACTCTTCATTGTGGCAAATAATAGCTCAGACTCCTCTTTTTATTTTTTATTTTTATTTTTAGATCATGTACAAAATGAAGAAAACTATGCACAAGTTCTTGATAAGTTTGGGAGTAATTTTTTAAGTCGAGACAACCCTGACCTTGGCACCGCTTTTGTCAAGTTTTCTACTCTTACGAAGGAACTGTCCACACTGCTGAAAAATCTGGTAAGCCATTTCATACAGGATTAAAAAGAATTACAGCCTGAGCAAAGTATAAGGTCATCTCAAGAGAACAGTTCATAATTCTTCCCCCTCAACCTTCAGTCTTTGGGGGTGAAAAATAAAAAAATAGCTTTGTAGTCCTAAGGTGTGGAAGTCATGTTTAAAGAAAATCCCATTGTGAAATTCCTGGAATTTGTACCTTTGGCCCAGCTGATAGAGTAGATTTAAGCTGAGAGAGAAACTACTCTTAACTTCAATTCTCTTTCACATTCTACCATTGATTTTTTTTTTTTTTAAAGATAACTGTTAGCAACTTTTGCTTTTTAATTGGTTAAAAGAGTGATGATTTTTGTGTCAAACATACATTGGAAATACACACTGAAAGTATATCTCCCTTGTGTGAAGGCGATCATGCATTTTGGTTCCTGATTTACAAATGATGAACCTCCTCTAACTCCCCACATCCTTTTAACCCACTACCAAAAAAAGCAGTTTGAGATTAAGGGAACCCTGATGTGGTTTCAGAACTAGATGACAGGAAGAATCCCTTAAAATCTGGGACACTGGAGGGGCTGACCCTAGGACACAGACCCAGAAATGGGGGCTAGGGCATCTGTTTGCCAGGCAGAAGTATCTGGGTATCACCGTGTTGTGCTGCACCACCCTCCCCAGCCCTCACGCTATCTATATTCACACTTAGAAAGGTTCTGTGTGACACTACCTGTACTGACCATTTGATTTTGTTGTGTTTGGGGGAGTTTTATTTTCTCTTGTTTTTTAAATAAAAGTCCTTCTCTAAGAACCACCCACACTTCCAAGTGAATTAACTTAATCAAGTCTCATTTCTCCTGAGTGCCCAGGAATAGGCATACAAAAAGGTTGAAAGGTACCAGAGGACAACTATTTATATCATATTTTTCCTCCAAGTTAGGCCTGCCCTGGATAAGAGGGGCTGTTTCTTCTTCTCCCCCAGTCTCTCAGCATTGCACCTTTACTTCCTTTAAAAATCTAGAACTCAAGCTCAAGATTCCCTTACCCTGAGTTAGTTATTAATATATCAAATATGATTTTGTGGCCTTAGGTGATAGTCTTGTCATAAATCCATTGGATGTAGATGGCTAGTTGATAGATGAAGACCTCTTTGAAAAATGAAACTGCCTTTCTACAATCTATTAACCTGAATATTTGACCAATCAGAATATTATTTTTTCTTTCACAGTAAATAAATATATGTGGGTATGTATGTGTGCCTGACAGTTTAATTCTCATTGGTGATTTATGCCATTGAATTAGTCTTACACAGTAAATCAGCTAATCTGAAAGAAAATAAATGTTGAAAATAGAAACATTTCTTACTTTGAAAAACGTGAGAAAAGATAATTTTGAACTTAGTATCTAATGTTCCTACACTTTTGGGTTTGTTTTAAAATCCATAGTATTTCTGTAAATCTTAGAGTATTTAAATCTCTTTTATTCAGAAGAGGACCCTCTCATTTCCCCTTCCCTCTGGATATTGCCTTGCCTGTAGCTGGTGACCTTGTTCAAGGTGTGATGTGGTGGAAGGAAAGGAACCGAAACAAGACTCTGACAATTCACTATTACCAAAGACTTGCTCAGAGAGGAAGTTCTGTTTGACATGAGATGGCCATTTTCACATTGATATCTTGCTTCTGTAGTTTCCAGGAGACCAGGTCTATTTGGCTTACGTCAAGAGTCATCACCTCCAAGTTTCCTGAACCAATCCATTTCTACACTTTGCTACACTACAGGTTCCTTTTTTATTGTGTGTGTAAGCTATATGCATAAGTCAGTGGCCATTCAAGCAAACATTCATTGTCTTCATTTGCTTATCTTCATACAAAAATAACTGACATTTATTGAACACTTTTGATGAACCTGGCAGTGTGGTGGGTGTTATGTGGATTATCTCAACTAAAACATTACAACAGTTCTGTAGTTATCATACCTTTAATCCAGATGAGGAAACTGCTGAGGCATATTGAGATTATGTAACTACTCATTTATACTGTTAGTATGAAGTACTGTAGACTTGAACCCAGACATTCTGTCTCTGAATCTGTTGCCTTTACTTCTCTGTTATATCCTGCTTCTGTCCCCTTATGCTCTGGTTGTGCTATTTCCCCTTAGTAGAAGTGCCAATCTTGCTATTCCACTATACATACCCCAAGTTACAGGCCTTTTTCCTTGTCCCCTTCCCTTTAAGGAGAAGTCTAAGAAAAATCTAAATGAAATTGCTGGAAAAGCTAATTCATTTAATTAAAACAAAAATCCATTTTCCCTGGAAGGTGGCAGTGGCATTCCTAATGAGGGAGCAGGTAGAAGAATCAGTGTGTATTGTACTTTGGTTACTAGAAGAACATTATTTTGCTGAATAAAAAGGCAGTCCCAGGAATTTTTACAACCTAACAACAGCCAGCAGCTTGCTGCTTCCCTTTTTGTGTTTGTCCAGGAAAGGGAAGAGCAAACTAGAGAGATTGATAGGGCCACACCTTGGAGCAGAGGCCTCAGAGGAAGCTGTGGTGGGGGGAGGGGTTCTGGATTTGCTTGTAGCACGTGTAGTCCCCAACTGAGGAGTGTGGATTGCCCCCACCCTTTTGGAGCTCTGCAATACCCCCACGGGAATCCATATTTCTCAGAAGATTTTGTGAAGCTACTGAAGGCTAGAAACATTAAGCAATAATTGATTCAGTTGAAATGTAGAGACTAAGTATAATAGAAGGTACTTTGGTGCTATTTAAACTTTCTGAATTGTATTCTCAATTCAGCCAGCAAGTACCAAATGTCTGCTACATTACAAGGTCTATGCTAAATACTGAAAAATTTTCTAATTAAAGTATTGCTTTATAAAGTATATTTTAATAGTTTATACTAACATTAGTTTATACTAACATATACAGTTAGTATAATAGTTTATACTATTTAGTTTATACTATAGTTTAGTTAGTACAGTTATAATAGTTTATACTAACATATACAAAACATTACTTATTGTTATAGAGGAAAAGAAAAGGATAGATTTTGAGGCCAAGTCTCAATGCCAGCTTTGAGCTTTTGACAAACCCTAAATGGGGAAAAATTTTGTTAGTTGGAAGCCATCAGTATTGCAAGTGTATTTTGTTGAGGCGTTTCTGAAGGGAGGTGGTCTTGAAAAATATCAGTGCACTAAGTGATGGTAACTATCTCAACCACCATTTATAAGCTTGTGTTCTTTTTTTTTTTTTTTCTGAACTGTCAGTGATTATAGAAGGTATGATGATCAAGGGAGATGTTATGTGAAATCTGCCAAGAGCTACCTACAAAGATGTTGGCATTAACATCACATAGGGCCAAGGCTGATTTTAATTAACTAGACATCTGAGAACTATAAAACTGATTACAATTATAGCTGATTGCTCTTTGAACTCATACCAGCATTAATGCACTAAGTCAGTTTTTTGTTGTTGTTGTTGTTTTTATTTTTGAGACAGAGAGCGAGTCTCACTTTGTTGCCCAGGCTAGAGTGAGTGTCATGGCGTCAGCCTAGCTCACAGCAACCTCAAACTCCTGGGCTCAAGTAATCCTCCTGCCTCAGCCTCCTGAGTAGCTGGGACTACAGGCATGTGCCACCATGCCTGGCTAATTTTATATATATATATTATATATATTATTTATATATTAGTTGGCCAATTAATTTCTTTCTATTTATAGTACAGACGGGGTCTTGCTCTTGCTCAGGCTGGTCTCGAACTCTTGACCTCCAGCAATCCGCCCATCTCAGCCTCCTAGAGTGCTAGGATTACAGGCATGAGCCACCACGCCTGGCCTACTAAGTCAGTTTTAAAACAACTTGATTTTCTTATTCTCACCTTCGAAGTTATAGAAAATGTTTCTTGTAAAGTTAAATTGTAACTCATAATAGGAGATTCGAGAGACTATGAATTGTCAGTGTCAGATGATCATGGGTTTTGGTTTCAATCAGACCTGAAATCCCAGCTCCCAACTGATTAGCTTTATAGCCTTAGGCAAATCATTTAACTTTCTAATACTAGTTTCTCTATCTATAAAAAGAAATAATAGTGTCTGTTTCTTGGTAGTGGCAGGATTTCTTTGAGATCAAGGAAGTAAATCACTAAGCACAGTACCTGACACATGGAGTTTGCTTCACAAATATAGGCTTTCACTGTTATTTATATCTTCTTCTTTTTTTTTAATACTCCTGTTTTTAAATTTCAGAATATTAAAGGGGTACAAGTAGTACTCTATGGGTACACATATACTACATTTTGTTAATCCACTCATGAATTAATGGGCACTTGGTTTGATTCCACATCTTTGCAATTGTGAACTGTGCTACAATAAACATTCAGTCAAGTACAGGTATCTTTTTGATAAAATGATTTATTTTCCTTTGGGTAGATACTCAATTGCTGGGATGGCTAGATTGAATGGTAGGTTGACTTTTAGTTCTTTGAGGAATCTCCAAAATGTTTTCCATAGAGGTTGTACTAGTTTGCAGTTCCACCAACAGTGTATGAGTGTTCCTTTCTCTTTGCATCAATACCAGCATCTGTTGTGTTTGAATGTTTTAATAAAAGCCATTCTAACTGGGGTAAGGTGATATCTCATTGTGGTTTTAATTTGCATTTCCCTGATGATTAGTGATGTTGAGCATATTTGGTGTTTATTGTCCATTTTTCTGTCTTCTTTTGGAAAGCTTCTGTTCATGTCTTTTGCCTACTTTTTAATGGGGTTTTTTGTTTTTCTCTTGCTGATTTGCTTGAGTTCTTTGTAGATTCTGGATATTAGCGCTTTTTCAGATGTATAGTTTATAAATATTTTCTCCCATTCTGTAGGTTGTCTGCATGGTTGATTATTTCCTTCACTGTGCAGAAGCTTGTTAGTTTAATCAAATCCCATTTATTTTTGTTGTTGCTGTGTAATTGCCATTGAGATCTTAGTCATAAATTCTTTGCCTGGCCCAATACCTAGCAGAGTTTTTCCTA